CTGGACTCAGGGGCTTCATGGAAGGTAACTTGTCAGACACTTTAAACGTGACTCCTATCCCGTCAGTCCAGGTCTAGAGTCAGGTCAGGTCCCGGGGCTTCATCGAAGTTAACTTGTTATTCATGTTCACAATGACTGCTACCCCCGTCAGCCAACAAGACGGTATAATGATACTTGATCTTGGCTCGAGGCTGCACGGAAGACACTTCAAAGGCGTTGAAAGAAAGACGGCTGGTAATGTTATTCAGCTTTTACAAGGGAGATAAACAGTCTGCTTTCATGACAGGTCTGCTAACAGTGAAAATACCCGTCTACGGCTCATCGCCAACACAGCAACGTGGTGAGCGTCGCGTTAGTGAGTGATGAAGCATCCATGAAGGAACTAATTTATATATAAACGTCTCATCATCATCTACTGTTTGAGTCTGGAAACTGATTTATATATAAACGCATGACAAAGAACTTCTGTCTGAGTTTTTTATTCACTCTCGTAGACATAAACTGACATCGGTTTAAGCGATCACAAGTGAAATTCTCCAGTTTAATTTGCTTCTCACGACATTGCCAAACATTTAGTGCAGTGTAGTACAGTTGGCAGACACAATAACAGTCTATATTCTGTGCGTAATAACACAAAAATGGACGTAAGGATTAACCAAAAAGTTAGTGTTTTAGAAACGCTCTCGCAGTATTGTTTTCCAACTTTCGGATGTAATTGAGTACTTGATGCCAGGGAACTTTATTCTGAACAAATGACGTACTACGTATACAAGACCCACTGGCGTCTCAGTCGTCTGAGGCGTTGGAATTCGATGTGCAGAGTTGCTTCCCTTAGAAATGCCAGGAACCCATGTGTCTATTATACCCTTACTCGTGGTTTTATCAAAAAACTAGACAACTACTATCTACTTCTCGTCGGGCTTTCCACTGATGCCAAGATGGCGTGCCGAAATTCTTTTTAATCAGGATATTTTTTAATTCCGTTAGATTAGTTTTATCAGTGCGGGAAAATAGACACAGTGTGCTGTAGATACCCAAAGAAATAAGGAAAAGATGCATTTTACTCCATTCCTCAGTTCATGCCTGTTGTGGTGGTCAGCGCTTCGGCAGCGTTACCTGCAGGACACAATATGCTAGCCATCTCTTGGTGTGCCTGCTGTAACAGCAATATGACCGAAATATTGATGGTAATGATATCATACCATATTAACTCACTCACTTTTTGATATTCCATATGAACGTTTCACATTTTCAGAATGATCAGCAATTACGGAGTTTGAATGAATCGGGTATGGGCCGATATTTCACTCGTTGCCATTAGAGAAGGAAAATTAGAACAGGGCATTAGATGTCAACCTTACATGAAATTATGAGTCACTGGTTAAATACGTGTGATCTTAACGACCTGAATAGACATATATATAGACAAGGCCCGATTCTGGACTGACTGACTGAGTTTGGTATTACGCCGCTTCCCAGTTGTTCATTTTTCTCCCACTGTCGTAGATCCAAACCACCATTTGGATCCAAAGTAGCATACATATTGGCTCCCACATGAGCATAATCATGGGTCCTTCCTTGATTGATGGCCTCCTGAAGCTTGAAATGGACTCCACGAAGTTCCAGCCAATGTTTCAAACTCAGGACAATACCATGTTTGGTAGGATAACTTCTCCCACTAGGATATACATCGTACTTCCTTACATGAATTCCTAGTTCTCCATTCCACATCTTGGCCGTCACAAACACGTCATTGCCTAAGTCTATATGACAACGAGGATCCTGTAGCTCTGTCTTGTCTGTCTCTAGTCCCAACAATGTCATAGCTTGTATCTCTCCACATTCCTCCAAAGCTTTACAGAAGAGGGTGTAAGCTTGGGGTCCTCACCTGGGAAGGGTATCTAATAAGGCTCTGACCCGGTCAAAGGAGGTTTGTGGTTTTTCAATAATATCTGCCTTCATGAAGATGGTAAGGACTTCAAACTGTACCAGTTTGTCGACCACCTCTTTTACACGCTGTATAGCTTGCACTAGGCTTGTTTACTAGGTAAACGGCTACCAGAACCAGTAGAGTCAAGAGCATGCGTGCGTTCTGTCTGGCGACTGAATGACATGGGGACTGTTCGGGAGCCTTATATTGCCATGAGTCTAAAAATACCTCTGGGAAAGTCCCAAGGTCAGCTCGTTACATTGCCCCCCTGTGAAATGAGGTCAACCTGATGGTCACACACACCTGGGCCGGAAAGGGGACTCCCGAAGGAGGGTGGGGCTTAAGGGTTCAACAGTCGATTAGGTCACACAAAGGTCACACCTATGTGACGTCATAAAAAAAATGACCAACCAAAAAGGTGTCAACCCCACCCCCAACCCCCCTCTACAACATATTATGTTTCTTACATACAGACTCATCCCATATTGTAACAAACATATTCCACCGTAAACGTTTCTCTGTATCTTGTGAACACTCAGTGATACATTCTTCCATGTGTTAACAGCAGAGAGTCCGGATAGCACGAGCCAAACGTTCTTGTACACCTGTCGGTCTCGCTGTGAACCTGCCCGTTTAGCACGAGTGGCCCCATACACCCCATATTGACACATGCAACACTGTATCAGTCCGTGACGTCATGGCCAGTAGGTGCATATGGCGTCATGTATGGCTTCCGCTGATTAGTTTGGAATCACCAAAACGTACCTATGGAAAAAGTGAAAAGGTATTACACTTGACCATTCAACAACCATTGTCCCGGCTAAGCATTCATTCACGCGGGCCAGATAATACGTTAGTGATAGAGTATGGTTTTACGCCGTTTTTAGCAATATTCCAGCACAGCGGGGACTCCACAATGGGCTTCACACAATGTACTCATGTGGGGAATCGAACCCTGATCTTCGACGTGACGAGCGAACGCTTTAGCCACCGGGCTACCCCACCGCCCCAGATAATACGTAGTTTCTCGTATAATCCGAGCATCCATGTCAGTCGGTATTGAAGACATCGCAGACCCACGTAATTCCTTGGCATTTGATTGGCTAACTTTAAAGTTTCAGGACTGACTGACTGACTGAGTTTGGTTTTACGCCACTTTTAGCAATATTCCAGCAACATCATGGCGGAGGACACCAGAAATGGGCTTCACACATTGTGCCCATGTGGGATTCGATTTTCGGCGTGAAGCCAACTGGTATAACCATTAGGCTGAACCGGAACAATGTTTCAGGAAGGTTGATGCCAACGTCTATATTACGAAGATTGCTTCTTCTATGAAACGATATAATGAAGAGGAACAATTTTGTTATATTTCTTTATTGCAGTATACTTTCATGCAGTGCTCAACACTGTATATGCAGAGTGATACTCTAGTCTCATGCATGAATATATGCATGAAGGATATTTGAGTATTTAGTGAGACATGAGAAAACGGAACCTGGACATGTGGAATCAAGGAGTTAATTAGCGTTGATTGGTGATTGAAATGGACATGTGGAATTCAGAAGTTAAATTCAGACTGATTGGTAGTGCCTGTGACCAATTGGAAGGCAGAGGCAATAACACTAATTTTGAATGGCAGCGAGCAAAGGGAAGTTTTCTGGATGAATTAGCTTTGATGGTAAGGCGTTGTTGACAGCTATGTGACATATACTGATTAAATCAATATATCATAGGCAGATATGTATCCTGGTCTCGGGTGATGGTTGGCTAGAATATTCTAATGTCTGGTTTCCTTTGGCGCAAGTTGTTGCTGATTTACAGAAGTTTGGTACCTTAATACATGATGTTATGGTCTTGGTTCCAACCTCAGACGATGCGTATCCCTGATCCCTGCAAGGTCCGGGTTAGAATTGATCTTCAGTAACCCATGCTTGTCGTAAGAGGTGAATAACGAGATCGGGTGGTCAGGCTCGCTGACACATATCATCATATCCCAATTGCGTTGATCGATTTTCATGCTATTGATCACTGGATTGTCTGGTCCAGACACGATTATTTACAGACCGCCGCCATGAAGCTGGAATATTGTCGAGTGCGACACTCACCTGATCCCCTGCAACTGTAACAACCCACACATAAGAAAAACCCTCAGATCCCTCCACAACACAAGCGAAAAACATCAGAATTCTTTCAACAAAATAGTCCAAATTTTCGATTTTTTCGAACATATCATCAAAAACCTCATTTTCCCCTCTGTTACTCCAAGCATACCGAGTGCTCTCCCCTATTTTTTATTCTTTGCAGCATGCTTTGGAGAATATTTTACCTGCTTTAAAGTTTACGTTTAGTCGTGAAGCAAACCTTCTTGTGTTATATGTTTTATGTTCAGCGTTCTTCTTTCTGTGATCAACGATGTCAGTATAATGTAAATTCCAACGTCTCTTTGCATCCTGTGGCCAGCATAGTCACAATGTTACTTTGTTCTCTGTGGGCAGTACTGCTTCAGTCTTCAATCTTCTCAATCGTCCCAATATTTTCTATGGGAAACAGCTTCTTACTTTCTATTTAAAATATAGTTTCAGTCTTCAGTGTTCGCTTGCGATCAACATGGCCTCGATTCCAGTGTCCCTATACTTTCTGTTGTCACTCGCCATTCGAACGACCCACTTTGCATACTTCGTAGCATCGTTCTTTCCTCCCATCACGTTATAATGTAATTAAGAATAAAATGAAGACATTCCCGCTCTGTAATTCGAGTGCAATACAGTAGTATAAAGATGAAATAGTTTAGATGCCATCCCACTCGACCGTATGGTACATAATATTTTACGACTGCTTCCTCGGATTATACAAGGTTTGTATGACACATCATGTCAGTTTGAGCATTTGTGTCAGGCCTGTGGTGCGTTACCGCAGATCATATCATAATCCCATTTTCATTTCGGTGTTTGGAAACATAATCTAAAAATTCATGACCTCCCAGCCGGAATTAAACGATATGAGCCGAGTGAAAAAACCGGAACCAGTCTAAATCGCACCGGAAATCTTCAAAGGGCAATAACTCTAATCTCACGTTGTTGTCAGATCGTGTAAACGTGTTTTTCCCAGCTGCAGGTGTTACATCAAATAACAGGTATTACAGATAATTTTATCGCCATTTAGTTGTGGCCGTTCTCCCTACAGAGAACTTTATATACATTGAGGTTGATGTCATGTCTGCATGTTTCAAAGCAGCAAAGCGCCATTCATAATGACCCCAACAAAATGTAAATATACAATGCCGTCCGGTAATTCCGCGCACCTAAGCACATCGATCGCAACACGGTAACTAACGTCTCTTATTTGTTGTGGTTTACGTGAATAAACATGCTGGTATGCATCATATTTACCTAGAAATATAAGTTTTATTGATGACTATAAGATTCTAACGTTGCATTATGCCATACGGTTGGTCCTTACCGGCGTTCTGACGACATCGCTTGCTGTCCGGTAATTCTGCGCGGCAACTGATGAGCATAACATCCAGCTGGAAATCCGAAGTATGGAAGCGTATTAGGGCCAGATTTATTTCAGAAATCACTTCATCAATGTAAGGAAGAGTGTTTCATAATAAATCCAATTATGAATAATGAAGAAAAAGGTTTAGAAATCTGAAGAAAACGAATTTTCATAAAACTGTCAATTTATCTGTCAATTACTGGTATTTACTTACCTTTAGCAGGGATAATCTACAACAGGGATAGGTTATTGCTTGCTTTCTTTACCATTTGTACTAATTAGCGTGTGCCTCATCATGCTCCAACGCACACAGTGACTTGGTTCGTTCCCAGTGCAACTTCGGCTGCGTTAAACAGTACTTCAGCGAGTTTATTGTATCAGTCGGAATGTTACAATGGATGATTGAATGAATTATGGCAAAAATTAAGATCAAGAATTATATGTGAATGAATGAAAGAAATAAAGAAAAAGAACAAATGAAAGAAATACATATGTGAATGAATGAAAGAATAAATGATACACCACGGCCATCCCTCCCCAAACATGTTGAAGAACGCAAAACTATTGCAAGAACACATGTCTTAACACCAGCTGACCTTTTTTTTTTAAATCTACTTTGAGACATTTTTTACATTAGTAATTAATTCAAATATCTTATTGCATGTGTGGAATGGCATGGGCATTGACAGAATGTTAACTGACACTCTCACACACCCCTCAAATAGAGAAAGTTTAGAACTATCACAAAGCGTTGTAAACACCTTTCAGTATTGTCAAATACTAAGATCAACAAGAAAGAAAGAAGTTTTAGACCTATATCACAAGCATCAATGGCGGATCAGATCAGATCGGCGATATATGTCATATTTTTCACACACATCAAATACACCCTAACAAAAAAATTAAAATTATAAAACTATCACTATTACTTGCAAACACCTTTCACCTGATGGTATATTCCCCCCATAAAAATTAAAGGTGTATGTAAAAGAAGTTTTCAGGACAATAACTAGAAACACTCAAACAACGCCCTGTAGTAGTTCAATGGCGGATCAGATCATTGGCTACACTGGCTACACTGGCTACACTGGCTACACTGGCTACACTAGTCACATGAGCCAAGGCATACGCTAAGGGGCTTTTCGAGGAGTGACCACTCCCCGTTATATAGTCTCCCTGCCTTTAGTGATTAAAAGCCAGTCCCTTGTAGAAATGTACCGATTTCAAGCATAAATGTGGTAGCAGATGATGTTTACCTTCGATACGGAAGTATGCTATTGAAGCTGCGCAGAATTATTTAAATTTGGTTTAAATATCTAAGCTTATTGTTAGCACGGATCCTAGGTTTCAGTATGTCATTGCATCTTGTGGATCCCATACCTGCTATTGACATGTGTTGTTTATTGATCAGAGACTCGTTCCATGATTTGCAAAATGGTTGATAAGATTGGTGCCATGAAAACCATTTTTATGGTTACTCATGTATCAAGTGCATAAGGTTAGATTAAAGTGACTGTTTGCCTAAAGAGGGGTTACCATATCATTATTTATCCAGCTTTAAATGGATACAATTCAAATTATAAATCTACGTTTAAGTAAAGTTGCGAATTTTTGTGATCCTTATCAAAGTGTGAGTAGTATACTTAATACACACCCAAAATTTCAAAAGAGTGTCTCTGTATTGGTTAATAAGATTGACCATATCTGTTGTCCATGGTAGTGATTTTGTTAAAATATTCCTAAAAAAAAGAATAAAATGAAACAAATTTATTTAACTTAACACTCTGGAGACCAAACCATCAAAGTACACTGCACAGAAGAATTCGAAGATAAAGCTACTCTGTTTTCAATTTTGCGGTCCTTTATCGTTGATTTAAGACCGCTAAATGTAATTTTTAAAAACACGAACGCGTTACCACCATGACAGATAAGCTATAGTATTATGAAAGAATCAGGTGGTCCGTAACTTATACCCTGATAGCAATGTTCGTTGGGCCAACATTGGCCAACGTAGGCCCAATGATGGCCAATGTTGGTCCAACATTGGCCCAACGGACATTGCTATCTGGGTATTGAGTGACATATTATACCCTGTAATCATAGCTACAGGTAACTTTTTGGGTCATTGAGTTATGTACCCGCTTGTGTTCATCTCAATTGGGTATCCCAATTTTCTTTTGAGTTACCAAATAAAATGTACTCACTTCGCTCAAACTCAATTGGGTAACTTGCCATTTTCCATTAATTGTATAAATTTAATAAAGTTTAATTGCACGGTTTGTTCCGTAATATGAGAAACGATAAGAAAGACTGCAAGTTGTCAAGTTCATGTCCTGAAATAGAACTTCTTCAGTTATTTTATCTGCCCACCGGTACGCAACCTAAGATTTGACATTTTTGTGTGTACGCATGTAAGATCACATTTATTGAGTATTTACACAAATTCAAGCGTACTTGTACGCAATAGACTTAATTAATTTCACATAAATATTTGCATAATTTACGCAGATACGCAGCTTATCTGTACCTCTGCTGTGATGTTTCAGAATCTCAGCAATGGAGGCTGTACATGTGATGGGTGTTACAATGATCAAACAGCTGCAATACTGCTTCAAGGTATGTCTTTATGACAAGACTGCTTTGGTATTCATTTTACAGATTGATCCTAAAAATCAAGCATGGGAAGGGTGAAAAGTCCTTGTAAAGCAAAGATAGATAATACTGATTTTTTATTAGAACTCACAGATGTTTATTTCTGGCTTTTCTGACTGAGATCCTGGATTGTGAAACAATTAGTTTTTGGAACCTTGAGCAAATGTCAGTAAACCAAACTTGAAATAAGAAATTATCCAACTTCTTGTTATTATTATTATAAGCCTGGGCCTAGATTTTTTAAGCTGTCTTAGCGCTAAGATAGACATGAGTTAATATTTTATATATTATTTATTATCTATATTTATATATATTTGTATAGCGCCAATATCCAGATCACCTGCTCAAAGGCGCTTTGTTCTTCCCTCGATCATTGAATGTCAATCTCAAATGGCACATTGTATTATCAATCTCAACTCCCTAGGGATCATACATCAAGTTAATGTTAATGTTACAAGTTAATGTTAATGTATGGTACTTACGACCATCTTAACACTAGGTGAGCTTCGAAAATCTAGGTCCTGTGCCTAGATTTTCGAAGCTCTCTTAGGCTAAGATAGTCATAAGTGCCACTCATTAACATTAACTTACTTACTATCTTAACGCTAAGAGAGCTTCAAAAATCTAGGCCCTGATTAGTAATGTAAAACTTAGCAGAGGAAAGGCAGAGAGGTAACTGTATTTCACTGACAATCATGATAATAGCGCCAATAAAGAGGAGGAGGCTTTAATGTGAATTTATTAATTATTCATACGTTTGGTATAGAATCTTAGATAAATCTACATCTGTTATGAGTTATCTGCCATTCTACAGTGTGGATCCATTACATTCAGTGGCTGATAAGGTTCATGTTCCATGAGCATATCATCATGTGTCAAATCCACACCCTAAATCATCCTCAGTCAACCATATCATCACTCTGTCAGTGGATCAGTGTGCACTGGATTTTCGTTCTCAGCTCCCTGGGAAATATACAACCCTGACAGGCACTTTAATTTCATATCATGTTAACATATCCTAACAGGTACCCATAAACTGTTTGGCGAACAGAAGCTTGCTTCAGAAAGTCACTTGCCAAGATATGCATGTGAAATGTAAGTGGGTTAGGACCAAAGCCCAAGAAACTTTTATTAGTCAACCTGCCCAACGTCACCTATCTAACCATTGACTTTTCTGCACTTTTCCTCATCCCCGTGCAGATTGAGGTTAGAATTGGTCTTCAGCAAGTAATGCTTGTCCTAATGAAGAAGCAACTAACAGGTTTAGTGGTCACTGACTTCGTTGGTGCGTATCATATTATATCCCAGTTACATTGATCAATGCTCATGGCGTCAATCACTGAATAGTCTAGTCCAGACTCGATTATTTACAGGCCACTGCCATTTGGCTTGAATATCACTGAGAGCGGCTTTAATAAGTCAAGATTGGCCTAAAAGCATTTATTTGTTCGTCTTTGGCTGTTGTTTTGTAATGTAGAGACTATGTAATTCTTTTCCTCAGAACCAGAGTGAGTTTATGCTGTTCCTCTCTCACGTCGGCGATCCTCACAATGCGTTCCTGTTCTACTTCCCCTTGGCCTTTTTCCTCCATCAGTCTGTGGGCAAGAGAGTCGTGTGGGTAGCAGCCATTGCAGAGTGGTTGAATGCAGTCTTCAAACTGTGAGTTCATTTACAAGGATTTACAGTGACACATATGATCGTCAGTGAGTCAACGAGTGTGGTATTATGTCACTATTAGCAATATTCCTGCAATATCACAGTGGGGGACACCAAAAATGGGCTTTACACACTGTACCTATGTGGGGAATCAAATACAAGTGTTTAGTGAGATAAGCAATCAAAAAGGCGACAAAATCCACCCTGCGAAATGACAAAACTCAAGTTCAAGGACAAACACCATGTCAGACAATGGAAGGGATTGTTTGTCTGAAGGACTTAAGCTTGTCCAGTTCAAGATGGAAGCGTGATGTATCACATACTGAATGTGTGCCTAGATGACGAGGTCTGTGCTGTGAACCAGTTGTGATAACTTCACAAGCCTAATTTCAGCTCATTTTACTAAGAAAGTGTAATCCCAAATATAACATACGTTACATTTGACCACTTTCTAAAATGGCATTGTGTATTTCATAGCTTTCGGACGTGGGAGCCGTGCCAATTAACACTTGTCAGAGGGGTACACAAAGTCCATAGTCTAGACTACCAGTTGTCCGACTTCCATTTTGTGGAAGCCAAGGTGGCTGAGTGGTCTAGGCTGCTGACTCTGAGGGTGTGGGTTCAAATCCCAGATGGGACTCAACCCCAAAAGTACTAGAATCTGTACTTTACTAAGAAAGTGTAATCCAGCAATATAACATAATATATATGTTTCATTTATCATATGTAATCGGATGTAGCACATTATTTTATTAGAGGTGATTGGGTAAAATGTTAATACTGAATTTGACTTTCACAATTGTGTATTCACATCATGAGCATCAATCTGTGCAATTGGGAAAGATGACATGCTTGAGTGAGTGAGTGAGTTTGCTTTTATGCCATTTTTAGCAATATTCCAGCAATATCATGGCAGGGGACACCAGAAATGGGCTTCACACATTGTACCCATGTGGCTATCAAACCTGGGTCTTCGTGGTCACGTGACATGCATGAACCCAAGTCTGGCCACCTGATTGCATCGTCACGTCTTACATCAAGCATGGGCTGCTGACAACAATAATGGACAATTTCCATGACTGAATACCAGGAGTCACACACAAACATTATTGTATGCCTTCTTCATTATTCATTCATCAAATGTATTTGTCTAATTAAGCATTTGCTTTTTCATACATCATCCTCTGTTAGCTACTTTTGGTTTTTTACTGTAGAATTCTCCATGGCGAACGCCCATATTGGTGGGTCCAAGAATCCACTGCCTACACCAACGCCACCAGGCCTCACCTGCAGCAGTTCAGACTGACATGTGAAACAGGACCAGGTAGGACACTAATTATGTTGACATGTGAAACAGGACCAGGTGGGACACTAATTATGTTGACATGTGAAACAGGACCAGGTGGGACACTAATTATGTTGACATGTGAAACAGGACCAGGTGGGACACTAATTATGTTGACATGTGAAACAGGACCAGGTGGGACACTAATTATGTTGACATGTGAAACAGGACCAGGTGGGACACTAATTATGTTGACATGTGAAACAGGACCAGGTGGGACACTAATTATGTTGACATGTGAAACAGGACCAGGTAGGAGACTAATTATGTTGACATGTGAAACAGGACCAGGTGGGACACTAATTATGTTGGCATGTGAAACAGGACCAGGTAGGACACTTATTATGTTGACATGTGAAACAGGACCAGGTAGGACACTAATTATGTTGACATGTGAAACAGGATCAGGTGGGACACTAATTATGTTGGCATGTGAAACAGGACCAGGTAGGACACTTATTATGTTGACATGTGAAACAGGACCAGGTAGGACACTAATTATGTTGGCATGTGAAACAGGATCAGGTAGGACACTAATTATGTTGGCATGTGAAACAGGACCAGGTGGGACACTAATTATGTTGACATGTGAAACAGGACCAGGTAGGACACTAATTATGTTGGCATGTGAAACAGGACCAGGTGGGACACTAATTATGTTGACATGTGAAACAGGACCAGGTAGGACACTTATTATGTTGGCATGTGAAACAGGACCAGGTAGGACACTAATTATGTTGACATGTGAAACAGGACCAGGTAGGACACTAATTATGTTGACATGTGAAACAGGACCAGGTAGGACACTTATTATGTTGACATGTGAAACAGGACCAGGTAGGACACTAATTATGTTGGCATGTGAAACAGGATCAGGTAGGACACTAATTATGTTGGCATGTGAAACAGGACCAGGTGGGACACTAATTATGTTGACATGTGAAACAGGACCAGGTGGGACACTAATTATGTTGACATGTGAAACAGGACCAGGTGGGACACTAATTATGTTGACATGTGAAACAGGACCAGGTAGGACACTTATTATGTTGGCATGTGAAACAGGACCAGGTAGGACACTAATTATGTTGACATGTGAAACAGGACCAGGTGGGACACTAATTATGTTGACATGTGAAACAGGACCAGGTGGGACACTAATTATGTTGACATGTGAAACAGGACCAGGTGGGAGACTAATTATGTTGACATGTGAAACAGGACCAGGTGGGAGACTAATTATGTTGGCATGTGAAACAGGACCAGGTAGGACACTTATTATGTTGGCATGTGAAACAGGACCAGGTAGGACACTTATTATGTTGACATGTGAAACAGGACCAGGTGGGACACTAATTATGTTGACATGTGAAACAGGACCAGGTGGGAGACTAATTATGTTGACATGTGAAACAGGACCAGGGGAGACTAATTATGTTGACATGTGAAACAGGACCAGGTGGGACACTAATTATGTTGGCATGTGAAATTAGATGATATAGATCAGGCTCATATGTGAAACAGGACTAGCCAGGTTACTGATAAGGCTGACATGGGAAACAGGACCAGGTAGGAAACATATTAAGCTGGCACGTAAACCAGGATGATGCAGATTGGGCTGATATTTGAAACAGGACCGATTCATTTTACTAATTATGTTGACATGTGAAACAGGACCATGTAAGTGACTATGTACTGGTATGTTGACATGTGAAACAGGCCAATTGCAGGTAACCTATTAAGTTGACATGTGAAGCAATACCAGGTATGTTAGACTGACATCTGAAGTAGGACAACGTAGGTAACTTAATTGGCTGACATGTTAAACAGGACCAAGGACAGTATTTTTTTAGGTTGACATGTGAAACAAGGCCAGGTAGGTAACTAATTATGAAACAGGGCCAAGGATGATATTTTTTTAAGTTGACATGTGAAACAAGACCAGGTAGGTAACTAATTAGATTGACATGTGAAACAAGACTAGGAAACATTAGGCTAATACATGAAACATCACCGCTGACATCTGTTTTTCTTCCAGGCAGCCCATCTGGTCATGCGATGGTGACATCAGCGGTTCTCTACATTCTTGTGTCAGACTACCTCTTTTACGGCAAAGTTAAAAGGAACTTACAAGGTAACCATGGTTCTGTATGTTTATAAAGATATAGCTGCAGATAATTTCACATCACTGTACACTGAAACAGAGCCAAGTAATACACACAAGGTAAATATTTGTGTGTATGATGTGGGGAAGGTCAGGTGGGAATCCATCGCGTGAGATAGGATAAGTGAATAAATATACAATTTATAGTTAAAATTTCCAAATTTTAAACTTATCCTATCTCACGGTATGCATTATCCCACGGTTGGCTGGTGGGCCGCAGATTACCCCAGTGTCAACTCCACAACCATGAGGTCGCATAACAAGGAGGCCGAGAGAAAGCACCAACTCCCGATATGATAACTCCAACTTGTGATGGGTTGCTTCTGAGTGATAAACCCCTTGGCGTATACAGTACAAAAACTCTAGGGAGTGGGCGGTCCCGAATTAATGTTTTCAACTTTTGACAAGCAAAAGGATGCAGTTTGGCAAGTAAACCCCACCTCCCCGCGATTTATCAGGAATCCCCAGTGAATTAAAGTCGGAGACTTTAATCTGGCCAGCTCCTGCTTCGAAACCATCCCCCACAGACACTCGCTGGAAGGCGTTAAAAGGGAGAACAGCCCGTTGTTTTCTTCTTGCTCAACTATTTTATCATGGTCGAAGAAGAGAGAGAATACCGTGAGATAGGAGAAGTACAGTCAGACCTCATTTATCCGAACTTCAGATATCCGAATACCTCAGTTCCTAACATTCTTCACAAAGACGAAATTTTCTAGTTACAATTTACCTCGTAGATATCCGAATGTTCGGTTTCCGTATCCGAGCGGTCAATTTTAGTAACAAAACAGCAAAAATGTACAAATTTGCCTCAGATATCCGAACACCAAGGCTGTAAAGTAGGCAAGATGTCTGATGTTTACCGCTCCTCAACAGTGCTCACTGCATTGACCTTTGATCAATCCTATATCAAAACCCAAGGTCTGTTGTCGGCGAGGTATCAAAACCACGATGTCTACCGCTTCTCAAAACATTGTGCTGGCTGCTAGTTAATTCATTGTTTATTGAATATTTATCACAGAGCGTGTAGGTTAATTATAGAAGAAACAATTAAAGTTTGACATTGAGTGGACACTGATTCAAATCGTTGATTGAGGCTGGCTCATGCGTTTCAAAGATCGTCATAGTATCAACAAAAAGAGATTCCAAGGTGAAGCAGCTAGTGCCGACAAATAATCTGTTGTAAAAGGCCGAGAGGAATTGAAAAGTGTGCTCCACGAATATGACCCAGAAGACATATTCAACATTGTGAAAACTGGACTGTTCTATAAACTGGGACCTAATCACACATTGGCGTCACAACCTGTAAGTGGAACTAAGCGATCAAAGGAAAGGATCACTGTAGTATTGTGTGCTTATTCAACTGGAACTGTAAAAATCAAACATTTTGTTATTGGCAAAATCCTGTAGGCCTAGATGTTTTGATAGCAATTTCAATCCTGAGATATATGCTAGATATAGAAACAACACAAAGTGGGATGACAGCAGAGCTGTTTCGTGATTGGCTGCTGTCTTTTGATTGACAGATGAGGTCAAAGTGGAAGGCGGGTGATTTTGCTTGTGACAATGCGGCTAGTCACAACTGTAAAATCTGAAACTGACCAGCGTGACTGTCCATTTCCTGCCACCCAACACAACCGCACACATTCAGCCAATGGATGCAGGGATCATCACGGACAGTTGTAGTTGTTTTGTTTTCACGTGTAGCCCGACCGCCTTGGTCCTGATTCAGATATCGAATGATTAGTTTGTCGAAACAATTCAATAAAAACAAAGTGTTCGGATAAACGAGGTCTGACTGTATATTAGTATATAATTTATATTTAAAATTTCCAATATTGATTGCCTTTCAGTATATTGATGCGTGTATTTTCGTGGACGATGTTTTGTGTTGTGATGCTGGCTGTCAACCTGTCCCGATGTTACATCGCAACACACTTCCCTCACCAGGTGGTGGCAGGAGTCACTGTAGGTAAGATGGTGGCAATAGTAGAGGCTATGATAAGTGAACAGATAGTACAAGGGGTCATTGTAGGTCACCAGATGATATAAGGGTCATTGAAGGTCAAATGATAATATATGGGTCATAGTGGGTCACCAGATAATATAGGGGTCATTGAAGGTCAAATGATAATTTATGGGTCATTGTGGGTCAGCAGATGATATAGAGGTCATTGAAGGTCAAATGATAATATATGGGTCATTGTGGGTCACCAGATAATATAGGGTCATTGAAGGTCAAATGATAATGTATGGGTCATTGTGGGTCAGCAGATGATATAGAGGTCATTGAAGGTCAAATGATAATATATGGGTCATTGTGGGTCAGCAGATGATATAGGGGTCATTGTAGATCAAGAGATTGTAACAGAGGTCATTGTAGGTAAGAAGGTTACTAAATGATAATCTGGAACATTATGGGTCACCATGCGACCGGAAGGGTATGTTCTATGTCAGGGTAACCCTAGCAGAGCTTGGTAACTTATATAGTATGACCAGAAATTATTGAGAATTTTAGGAATATGTTTAATTGGATTTCTAGTATAAACAACCTTGACCAGCTATCAAGTGCTTAGTTTCAATCAAGAGAGACAACTCCGTTAATCCTTTTTCATTAGTTTGTGAAGAGTTATCCCCCTTTGTTTACTTGCTAGCAGGCGACATTTTCAGTGATCCTCAGTATGGATGATTTAGAGAAGAGGAAGTTGATTTTAGAGTATTATAACAAGGACATCAGATCAGCTAAAGTGATTTCAAGTAGAACAGACATCCCTTTGTCCACTGTTTATCGTGTTTTGAAAAATATTGCAAATGGATATGGCATTGAGCACCAGGGAGGCGCAGGTAGGCCCAGAAAATTGACTGTCGGTGACAGGAGGCGCTTAGTATTCTTGTTTCTAAAACAAACAAAGGAGTTTAGAAAACTTAAGGCTGGATTTGATTGATAGAGGAACTGTGTGCCTATCTGTAAGGAGACAATTAGAACTGATCTGCATGCAATGGGTTGGCAGAAAAGTTGAGGAATTCCATCACCCATCATGAAACCTGAACAAAAGGAGCAAAGGTTGAACTGGTGCTTACAGCATAGATATTTTTTAACTGGGACAATGTGATTTTCTCAGATGAGAAGTTCTGTGTGGCTGGTTCCTAGTACACTGAAATTCTGAAAATGTTAAAATACTCTGAATAAATGCTACATAAAAAGATGACATCACAGATGGGTATACATAAAAAGATCTCAGTATGTTAGAGTAATGAAGCGATAAAGAGACCAGCATGGTCTTGGGGCTTTAGGTATAAGATAGGCGCCGCAGTTTGTAGCCATCTTGACCCAAAAACATTTGCAATATTTCCCTGCAACAATGCAGTTTTGACAAAACAAAAAATACCTGAATATTTTGTCACATTTTTTCCAGGTGTTATGATTGGTCAGATCTTCAACAGCTTCTTTACAATGACCTTGACCTTCAAGCATCACCTAGGTGCAGCAGTGCTGTTTATGACCACAAGCGCTGATGGCGTTTGGAGTGATCCAGGCCATAGGGATGGATCCCATGTGGTCGGTCAGCAAGGCCCAGCAGTGGTGTGCCCAGAGCAAGTGGGTGTATCTGGATACCACACTCTTCTACAAGCGTCACCAGGGATGCATCAAGCATGTTTGGTAGGACTGAAGAATCTTTGATACTTATGTGCATGCTGAGATGAATTTCAGCGAACATACATTTTCACGAGAGCTTCAATGGTCATTTAATAAACTCTTAGGACAAAAGGTGGGGTGCGTACACCTGCACCCCTCCCTCTAATTCTGCCTATGTGAATTAGTAGGGTTGAACATGACTTTGCCAAATGTATATATATATATGTGTTGTTGTTGTTTGATCGTTAGGGGAAAAGCAGACTGATCAAATCCCAATTCGCTCTGATTACAGTTCTAGATTGTTGTAGGGGTATTGGGGTAGCCTAATAATACATCTCCCTCCTTAGTTTAACAGACATGTCATGATATAATGGAATAATGTTCAAAGCAGCATCAAACCCCACTCACTTACTGTAGCGTGAAGGTCCGGGTTAGAATTGGTCTTCAGCAACCCATGCCTGTCATAAGAGGCGACTAAGGGGATCAGGTGGTCAGGCTCGTTGACTTGTTTGACACATGTCATCATATCCCAATGGCCTAGATTGATGCTCATGCTGTTGATCACTGGATTGTGTGATTCAGACCCGAATTATTACAGACCGCTGCCATATAGCTGGAATATTGCTGAGTCGCGGCATTAAACAACAACCAACCAACCACCTTCTCATGCCTATCATATTTTGTTGGGCGGTTGGGTAGCCTAGTGGTCAAAGCGCTTGGCTCATCACGCGAAGACCCGGGTTCAAATCCCTACATGGGTACAATGTGTGAAGCCCATTTCTGGTGTCCCCAATCGTGATGTTGCTGGAATATTGCTAAAAGCGGCGAAAACCAAACTCAGTCAGTCAGTCTTATTTTGTTTCAGGTCTTGGCATCAGCCTCTGTTCCTCCTGCCACAGGTCAACAACAGTGGTCACTCCATGGCGAACCGTGTAGTCCATATCTCTATCTCCTTGATAGTATCTGGTTCATTGACTCGTGTAAACTTCCTCATTTTCCCATCATCCTCTTCTATCTGTTGGCTTTCTGCAAGTTTGTACTACTCTTTGTATTCATTGTTAACATTGTACCAAGAATTAATTTCTTTTCTAATAATAACAAAGATGAGAAGAAAATAGAGCTGACTAGATGCCTGTACTTGCCCAGATATATGATGTCTTAGATGTTGGTCAATATTGTCATGATTTTATCTTTATGTATCACTTTTTAGCTCTACTTTCACATTAAGCAATAAACTCCTGTCACGCTCACTCACTCACAGGGCGTAGCTACCATCAGAGCTCCAGATAAGATTTAGCTCATGTGGTACTGTACCCACTGTATATTTTTGGAGTGGGTATTATGATTGTTAGTGGGTATTTCATTTTTCCTTTACCCACTGCTTTCAAATAAGTCCGTATTTTCAGTCATTTTACTCACCTAAGTATTATGTTATTGAGTAAGTTTACTAAGCAGGTATGTTCTGCCTCTCATATCATACCTAATCAAAACCAACTTAAATATAATGGAAATGATTTCATAAAAATCACTCATCCTATACTAACAGTACAACACTAGTCCTATACTAACGAGTACAACTTGATAGCAATCAATGTCTTTTCATTGCACAAGCTATTTTTTTATAAATATAATCTGTATGCATTTGTTTTAATCTTTTTGCGTGTATCTAACATTTTTTAAATCGTGCTTGGTAGTGCGCAACAATTTATTTTCAATGTGTAATTGGAAATTTTCTCTTCATATTTTACCGGATCGCAGCTTATCTGGGCCTCTGTACCATTGTAAAAAGAGCCGAGGCTTACACATAATTGTTGCTTGCTAAAAGGTTGGGCAAGCCCTCAATACTATCTAATATAAAGCTTTGCAACCTATCGGGCTTACACGCTTTTAAAAATTGGCTTGCTACGACTCACTCACTCACATAAGCATGCATGCACAGAGAGGAGAGATACATGCAGGCACATATCACACACAAATCAGTGAACTAATCACTCACTCACCTCGCTCACAATGTAAGCATGGTAAGGTTGATTGTATTTATCTGTTTTATGGCATCTCCACATCTAGTCTCAGTTGTTTGTCTCCTGATGTCATCGGTGGTGTTAGGTTAGACTTCAGGGTCCAATGTTCTTCTCGTGAACTACCTTAAACTGTTTTCATGTTTGTTCAACTTTGTTATGGTGCTGTTTTTGTACTTTGTTGATAGGTTGCACAGTGACCTGGCCGGCTTTACGGTTTTGTATGACTTTGACTGACATTGAATTTGACTTTTCTGCAACAAAGGTCGTTGACAATGGAGATTGTTCTTCCATGCACTTTCCCCATTTAATACTGTACAATTTGTTTTGTGCACATCATGACAAGGTCAAAGATTTTTCAGATAAGTTAATGGTTACTCTGTCTTAAAAACTGTTTAATGCTGAGTTCATTATACTTGGTATAAACCATCTGTTTAGTATTCTTTCAGTCCAGATAAGTCAAAGGTCAAGGTTAGTGAAAACACTTGTTATATCATTGTCGGCAAGGCTACCTCTTAATGCATGGAATTTTATCTTCTACATTGAATATCAACTAAATCAATGTCAAGTCATGTTTTCTAATAATATGGCAAAACGATTATTGACATAAGAGGATATCCTGCACCTAAGGAATTCCTTGGGGCACATGTAGAAGATCAAAGATTATGGTGATTTAACAGATTATTTCACTCGGTCATTTGTTTGATACCCTTTCTCACACAGTACAAATGCATTTATCCTTTTCCATGACGATTACCTGGCTTTTGTCAGATTTCAACAAAGGTCAAGGTCAGCATTCAATTTTGTATTGAAGACTTGAGTATATCATTATCAGTTTCTGTCGTATGGCTACTAATACAGGCATGAAACTTTGTACTAGCCAGTATGTTAACAAATTCCTACCTCACTATATGTTAGTGGCATGTGTTCCACTGGTCAAGGAGACCGCCTCCGTGGTGTAGTGGTTAGAGCGTCTGCCCGGAGAGCGTCATACCAAAACACGTTAAAATATGGTAACTGTTGGTCCCTGCCTGGCGCTCGGCATTACTGGGTACAACAAGGACTGGTCGACTCAGAGTCAGTATAATGTGTCCGAGTGGGGTATTCATGCATCACTGCGGCATGGCATCTCAGTGGGCTAGCACTATAAAACCAGCTTCAGTCCGGGCTAGTACAAGCAGCCGCACATACACATACACACGCATGCACGTCGTCATATGAGGAAATATTCTCAAGCACGACGTAAAACCCAATTTCACCTCACCTCCACTGGTCAAGGTCATCTTTGAGGTTTGTGAAGCATGATTGGATCATCAATCATTGCCAGATACGGCTGCACTTTGGTACAGTCTTTGGATTTGGTGATGTTTGGATCTAAGGTTTGATTACGGTTGATATCTGAAACTTACGTTTATGGACTAGAAGTATATCTTGTTTAAAACATGAGAAGCTTTGAGGAATTTTGCAAATACTTAATAATGCCTTTTAGTAGACAAAATGGATGAACCTATTACTATGTAATGATGCAGTCTTTAAATGTGTCATTTGTAAATAATACTACTTATTCATTTGTTTTATTTGCAATATGTCTGGTGAAAGTCATTTATTTTAACTACACAAATAAATGTTCAAGATTAAGAACAGTGACTTATTATGACTGAAATGTAGAGACTGATATGCCAATATTTGTAATTTCAAGTTTGTTTGGGTGGTGTGTTCTCCGTATGAACACAGAGAGATGTTGCTGTTATAACACGCCCTTTGGCCTGTTACTGATGTATTCATGTGTTAAAGATATATGGTTTGAAATAAATCATTTAAAACCAATTCACTTTTAGTTCTTTGCAGTTCCATGTTTGAACCTGATTGGGTAGAGTCAGTGTATGAAATTAGGCCAGTCCGACCACCCGAGACGGGTTAGATTTCAGACGGACGGTCTAGTTTTACAGCTGGCCAGCCCGATGGTCTTGTAAAAAATTGAGATGTTATATACATCTGAGTCATATCTTGGTGTCTGGTCTGGTTAAATCCATTTTGGACTGGTAACATTTTGAAGTTACCAGTCCTGATGTCTTGGGTTTTGGCTTATTTCATACAATGGTAGAACGAGTGAGTATGGTTTTACACCACATTTAGCAATATTCCAGCAATATCATGGCGGGGGGACACCAGGAATGGGCTTCACACATTGTACCCATGTGGGGTATCGAAACCGGGTCTTCGGTGTGACGAGCGAAAGCTTTAACCACTAGACCACCCCACCACCCAAATTGGGTAGATCCATGGTACACAATGCTTTTCTTACGAGCATGGCTGTACGCTTAGTATAACAGTATGCATCTTTGCATGCATGCTTGTACCAGTAGGACTAGTACTAGTTCTATATTACACAGAGGTGAGATACGATCCCATACAAAAACATGGATACCCACCCAGACACAGAATTCTGACTTCAACCCATCCCTGTTTCATTCTCCTTCTGGGCATGAGACAGGGTAACAAGTACCATCTTGAACCAAAAAAAATTATGATGAAACCTAGGATAGAACCACAGCAGGGGTGGAAATAACTTTAAAATTGCTAGTGTACTCCGGTACAGTGGCACATGTAAAATCACTTGCCATGATACTTTTTCCACTATACCGGCCGTTTTCTTAACATAATTAATGTTGGAAAGTCAACTGTGATATACAAAGTGTGATATACAAATTTGCTTGCCCAACAGAAAAAAACACTGGACTCGGACGTGGGCAATGGGTTATTTCCACCCCTGCACAGATAGAACCACAGACCTTAACATAGCCTATCCACTCAACACTTTCCTCCACAGTGTAAAAGATCACAGCTTCCCATGCTTGTAAGGGTTGTTGTGGATCATTGTTCATGTTTCCCCATCAATAGTTTTCAGATTAGTGTCTGCAGCATTCTTTAAATGAATCATTCAACCCCAGCTGCATCCTCGATAATCTCCTGGGTATAAGTTCCGATAAAATCTCCACTATGCCCTGCATGCATCTACGGCTCGGCCCCATGATTTTATTACCTCCCTTGGCTGGCTTTTTCTCCAATCAGGTGTCTACGCTGAGAAGTTGAGCATACCAATCACAACTCACTTTAAACTTCTTTATTAATTTAACTTGTCAACATAATTGTTGCAGAGGTACTCTGAAAGAGTCTGTATGATTCCCCAAAATCTGAGTCCATATCTTAGCTCGCGCATCGCTATCTTTGTTGACATTGGCAAGCTCGGTTCTAACAGCGCTTAGTTGATTGGCTACTGTGAGAATCGCGGAGCCAGCAAAGGGAGGTAATAAAATTATCAGGCCGAGCCATAGATGCATCCAGGGCACTAGTGGAGATTTTATCGAACGCATTATACCCTAGAGATCATCGAGGATGCCCCAGCTGTGGGAATGGCTGGTTGTGCCACGAACCACTGGGATATCATGTCCCAACTCATATCGACAAACATGTTGATTGTATAACGCTGCACTCAGCAATATTCCAGCTAGATGGCGAAGACAAACGTTGTTGCCATGCACAGAAACACATATATCATGAGCACAACTAACTTGTTCAAGAGAGACAGGACATCACATCATGCTTGTTGTATGAAGGTACTGAATGGAACATCCAGGTTAGACTATCATCTGCAACCCATGCTTGTCGTAAGGGTTGACAGACAGGATCGGTGGACAGATTCACTTTGTTAAAGCACTTCATTGTATATCCATTGCATAGATCGATGCTCTTGATTGCATGGTCCTGATTCAAATATTTAGTCCGACATCATACAGCTGAAATAAGCTAATTCAGAATGGGATGGTCCAGCTTTGTGACTTTCTGGCTATGCTAATTGTACACAAGGGTACATATGAATTGTAAACCAAAAGTCACTGTGTTCTTTAATCTGATTGGTTGAAAAACATGATCGAATGGTATTCGATTCCTGGAAATTAAGCTGCGTTATTAATGCGTGCAAACATCGCTCACACCATTGTATTGTTACGTCGTCAGCTGTGATGGCGTCATTCAAATCATATTGTGGCGTAAAAGTCTGAATGGCGTCACAAATGAGCAGTTCCAGATGCTACCATGGGAGACAGCCAAACTGGCCGGCTGATGACATTTCACTGCTGTACCCGTACTTGATGTCAATGAGAACAGACACAAAAGCGTGTGTGGACCATTTTGGTTTACTTTTGTGTTTACAATGTTGATATACATCATGTGTTGGCCCAATTTCGGGTGTTATTGAGTATTTGAAGCATGGTAA